TAAGTCGATCCTTTTACTCAACTTAAATGTTCCATCAAATGAGAGCATTCTCCAACTATCGCCCTGAGTGATAAAGCCATAAACTATGCCACCATCGTTATAATCCCTCATGTCCTTCAGGGAGAGAAAGCACTGCTTTATTGCTTCCCCAAGAGAGGCCTTCTTCGCTTCCGCAACCAAAACATATTTCATTTGGTTGTAAGATATGTAGTCCATCACAACGAATTCCTCCATACCACTAGTACTGAAATCCTTGGTGATAATTTCCTTTTCTCGCGATAAGTGTAGCTTCCGCTTGGTCTCACGTTTGAACTGAGCGATCGCGGGACGGATTGTGGCGGTCGCAATGTCGTTTATGTTGGCCTCTTTGAAGTCGGCATCGGCCTCAGTTGGGTATCCCCCAGATTCGATGTAATCTACCAAGTTTTGATAGATTTTCCTCTTCACCTTCAATAGTGAGTCCGGTCCCAATGAGCGATGTTTTCCTTCGAGAATCCGCTCTAGGGGAACTCCGGGTATGTTCAATCTGAGACCCAACCGGTCCTCTGCTTCGCGGATTGTAATCTTTGAATACGATGTTGCCCACTTGCGCCTCCTGCTCTTTTTATTGGTGTTCTTGCACGCCTTGGTATTCGGGACTTCTACCCAGACATTAGTAACTAATTAGCCCTGATGCAATAACAAAACTTAAACATTCCATTAAACCTACCTGTCAAGTTGGCTTCCCGAATTTCCGCCCTGGAAGCTTTGTCCGTAGCCTTTTTCGTATCTTTCCTGTTACTCATTGTCCGGAAGGTCCCTACCCACCAATCAATGACCCAGTAGCATTTTTGTGATAACCAAATGTATAGAGATCCTCAAACTTACTGGTAAATTGTTTGGATTGTTTTTTGTGATAGCCTCTGTGTATGTAGTTGTATCGCACGGTAGAGGAGCAGATTGAGTTCAGGGAGAAGAAAGGTTCTAATGTACGTGTATACTAGTTTTCACATGATTTTTAGTCACTCAGAGGGGGAGATGTGGGCGAGGAGGGGGGTACCTCAATCCCCCCTGGGGCAATTCTGCGAGCTTCTCCCAAACCGATCGCCAATAAAGGTGTAAGAACTTCACTGCGAAGACTATGTTCTTGACCCCTGCCAGAGATGAGAGGGTCCATCCTGACTCCTAGTCTGCAGCCGATATAACAGGCTCTGATACCCCTTGGTCCGTCAATTTTAGGGTCAGAGATTCTCATCCAGTCGATGTCCCACTTGGCAACTGCGACGCGAATCTTGCCCATGGCCTGTACCCCATTGGTAAGGAAGAAGGCACCCTGTTTTCGATACAGCGTCCCGACCTGCATCTGCTGGATGTCTTCAATCTTATTATTGACCGTCATAATTGAAACTAGGGATGTGTCTGGGCAAATCTCCTTCTCCGAATGCTCCAGATTTATCAAACAATTGTTCTTGATGGGAAGATATGTGATATCGCACCCCTCGTCTTGCAATTGTCGACACAAATCCAACACACGCTTGTGCTCTGTCTGGGATGTGATGATATTCTTCTTGGACTTGTAAAACCTTGCCCCATACTCCATTGACATATCATTCAACCCCGTGGCTCCCCAGGTGAATATAATCTCCTTTTGGTAGGCTCTGTTGAGCTTTGCAACATGCTCATATGCAATATCAGTCACCTTTTTTGTTTCCCAGCCATAGGCATGTGCGCGTGAATGAGGATTTCTGTAGAGACTGGTATAAATGGGAAGTATAGCATTGAGCACGCAAGAGTTGGTGGGAGTTGTAGCTTGCATGCCAAGGTGGACTGGTCGAGATTCCTGGTCCATTATTGCGGTTTGGTTGAGAATACCTATTGGCCAGGACCGTTAGTTCCACAATTGCTGCGTGAGAAATACAAAACGGAAGAGAAAAAGTGACGTACCGGTAGAAGGGGACATCATCACATCCGTCATTAGACCATTCCCAACACTGACCTCTGCGAGCTTTACTCCAGTCTTATTCATGAGATTACTCGCATCTATTCGTCGATTCTCAACATCCCCTTTATAACTGCCCCCCCATCCTTCCCGCTTGAAGATATGAATCTCTGGCGCAGCTGTGCTGTCAATCCCCTCTGCAGGGTTGCAACAGTAAGTGAAGCATGAGAGAAGCTCGGAACGTATCGAACAACCTTGATAGCCATCACCATGGTGCAGGAGTTAAAAGACTGTGAAACCTCGTGCAGGGGTGTACCTATCAGATAGCAGAGGCGGAAAGGTAAACTTTTTTAGGAAGAGTTAAAAATGGCGGGTCGTGGTGAGGATGTTTTGAACTCCGGAGGCGTTAGGGGAGAAAAAAAGAAAAAAGGATTGGGTGGGAGGGAGGATCATAGTAATGCCACGTGAATGGAGTGAGTAACCCTAGAAGGTCTTGGCAACGACTTTTTTACTTAGACGGAGAGATGCTGTGAAACAGGCTCGAAACCCGGAACTGTGGAAAGTGCGAATGTACAACCGGAATCCAGTACCGGTATTCAGCAATGGGGAGATCTAGAAAAAAATTTATTGTGAGTTCGGTGCAGTCACTGGTGACATGATAATTTTCTTGAAGGGTGGAAGCTTTAGGCATTGGTTGGTCCCTGCAAAGCAGGATATGGATAGGCACCCGGGAATACATTTTCCTACAAGACAGGGATTATTTTGTGGGTTGACCTAAATTAACTGTATAAAAACATATCCCCGGGTGTACCACTACTCGAGTAGGAAGGGCCTCCCAGAACCCGGATGGTGGAGAAAAGTCAAAATAAAATCTCCCATGGTTGTTTACAAGTGAGTGTGAACAGATAAGTTATGCATGGGCGTGGGGCTTGGCTTGGCACCCAGTTTCGTGGTGTAGTTGTATCTATCATAACACCACGATTTCTGGTTGAAAAACATTGACTCCTCATCTACTAAACCCAGATTAGCCACTATTCGTGGGGGCCAAGCTGTACACCTCCCCTCTGGAGTGCTACTCTACTTTTGCTCCCCCCCGGAAACCCGGTACGTTCTCCAACGACAACATTCCAACCCCTAGCGGATGATTGCGCCGGCCCCACCACCGACAGCACTTGCCCACGCACTCCTCCAGAGCACCAACTCCCCGGTATACGTCCCCCCATTCTCATAACTGCTAGGCGGGTGATGGAAGAGGTTAATGGATTCGGGAGCGGTCGGGTAAGTGGTGGGGTTGGTAATAACTTTTCAACAATAATCACTCGACTTTTTCGAATGATGCCACCAATAGCTGCTGCGGTTAACACTTTTTGGAGCTAGGTGAATAATTTACAAAAATCGAGAAGCCCCATATATACACCCCACCCACTGGCGGCCTACGCTCCAGATATGAAAATATGGTTACATTGCGAGGGCAAAACTGCGATTGCACCCCCCCTTTCGTCGCCTCTTACCCCGTTCTCCGTGTTTGCACCCGCAGCTGCATCATTCCCCTCCTATCTCTACGCATCCTAATCGTTTCTTCGAGCATTTCCCCGGTCCCCTTCCCCGGTCCCCTTCCCCGCCATTGCCTTCTCCTGCAGCTCCCTTTCCTTCTTCTCCTTATGTGCCCTAACCATTTCGTGATGACTCTCCCCAGCATCCCGCTTCCTCCGAAGCCCTGCTGTCTTCTTTGCCTCCTTCACCTGCTTCTTTTTCACCTTCAGGAAGGTGGTCGTCTTATCCTTGACAATAGCCCTCACCCCATCACCGTGGGGGTCCTTGATTGTGACAAACTTTGACATTGTCTTCCTGCTGCCGGCACCAATCTTTATGTTTCGGCTTGTTCGAGCTTTCGCTCCAAGCGCCCAGAGATCACCCCACCCGCTCTTCCTCGCGTCTCTGTACTCCAATTTTCCGAGGCTCTGGGGAACAACCCAGCGTTCGATGGAGCCTGTCACCTTGCATATGTCGAGTATAATGTGCGGGTCGCATTTGATAGGTGGGAGTATGACGTGCGGAAGAGCCTAACTGTAGTTGCAGAGTTGATGCATTGTGTATGGGCTCTGAATTGGCGTATCGGGTTCGCCTTCGAATGGGGCTATGCCAGAGCCATCTATCGTTGGATTAATCTAGGTTATTCTTGTCAGCGCGGCGGTCTATACCGCCACGGAAGGCGAGATATGAGTACTCGAGATCTTCACGGTCTTTTTTTTTTTGGATGACTCATCCATGAGTCTCTGCAGATAGCCGGGGCGCTCAGAACGCTGCGAGAAGCGGCAGTAGTCTTTGCGGTTGGTGCCGTCTGTAGGGCCAGAGGGGAACAGGGGCATTGTCCCCGGTTCGTGCACGGGGCGATTGTAGCGCCGGGCTCCTTTTCGATAGGGGTTTTGGCGAAGCCACCGGCATTCTTGGTCAGGAGGGATTGGAAAGCTTTGCCAACGTCCTGGATGCAGTCCTCTAGGATGGTGGAGCGGGCGTAGGCGACTGCCTCGAAGCCCATTGGCATCCCTATTACGATGATCGAAAGGACGCGGCCGTCCAGACTTAGGTGCGACCGGAGTTGATCGATGGTTTGGCGGCGGAAAAACGACTTCCCTATCAGGAGGATTCTGCTTGTAGCAATGATCAGATCGTAGAGTTTTCTCGGCTGAACCTTATCCTTCTCCATCAGGGCCCCCGGGGTGTGGTGTAGGTTTTCGAAATAGATATCCGGCACTCGAGAAATAAACCGAGTATCGATGTTTGCGGTGAAGTAGAGGAAAGGAATGTATGCACTAACACAGGAGTTGTGTATCTAGTTGATAAAATACAAGGAGGTATGATATCATAACAGAGAAAAGCGGACAAACAAGAACCTTAACGGGGATAGGAAACCTTTGCTTTTGTAAACCCAAAACCATCAACCCCTGCTCGGCTTGGCACAGAGCCACAACACAACGCCTACTGGCTTCTGAAATCAGCCCCACTCCACTTGCGCCTTCCAGGATGATATGTAAAGTGAACAACATTCTGCTAAAAAAATACAGAAATACAATGGTGATGCCCTTTTGTGGCGTAGTTGGTTACTACATCAGTCTAGCACTGGTGGTCTCCAGTTCGAGCCCGGCCGAAACCATTCTCTTTTTCTCACTTCTAAGACTCTTTTTTTCCTTCTTCATTCACAACGCCATCTATTTCATTGGTTCCAAGCAGCTGCTCGTCAATTTATACGGCTAGGGAGCCCTTGAACTAGATGAAGGAACAGCAAGAGAGAGTGAGACTGGTTATTAATACAGTTAATAACATAATTTATTCATACGAGTGAGAGCTTGTGACTAGTTATCCTCTATTATGATGACAATGATATCTGACGCGGAGAAAGGGAATAGAAAGAGAAAGGAAAAAATCCATTGAGAACGCTCCATTTTCCCAAGCTCGGACCTCCCACCACTCACCCTCCGACGAATTGGCATAGTAGTTAGTCCACCTTTGCACCGGCGAAGCGGCCTGCCTGAGCGCTTGTCATGAGGTCCCTCTCTCCTACAACCCGCATACGTCTCTGTCTCCCCGCTCTCCTCACAACACTCCCATTACAACAAGAAACCGACATCGATGTCTTCCAACACAGGTCACCGCATTGACGAATCCAAAGCTTAAGAGATTTTTGGGTCCTCTTGCATTGGTAGGGCCTATCGATACGCTTGCCGGGGCCTCAATATTAACCTGGGATACCGTAGATCTGATTAGCTCTGATTTTGGTGGTTCGGTCCTCGGATTCGGTGACGAATGGTTTGATAACTCAATCAACCCAGCTCCTTCAATTCGCAAGCCCAGTGTGTTTGTGCCTACGGGTACTTGGCATGACGGGGGTGTTCCCCTCCCCCCTAGAGATTCTGTAATGCTAATATGCTGTTAATTCAAGATGGGAGACGAGAAGGCACAACAAAGCCCCAGCCAACTGGGTCATCATTAAAGTGGGTACCGTTATGAAGAAATCTTCATAACAAAAGACTATTACTGTATTAACTTTCAATAGCCTGGAGCCCCCAGTGGTAAAGTCCACGGTTTCAAGATCGACACAGCTCGCTTCAACGAAAACCACACTCCAGCAGTCACCATCGAGGGCACCTTCCTTGACGGCAGCCACCCAGACGCAAATATACCAGTGAGTAAGTTGCTTCACTAAATTAGTTCAATCTGACATCCAAATCCTTCCAGTGGGAAGAAATCCTCACAATGCAGGAGTGTGGCCCTTCCCAGAGACACATCTGGAAGCTAAGCTCTCCCACCGCCAAAGCCTATTTTCATGTCCGTCTCAATATGTTTCCTGATGGATGTAAGGTCGTAACAGATTCCACCACCACAAATGCCGGGAGTACTAACACGCTATTAGGAATTCCTTGCTTCCGCTTGTTTGGAACTACAGTCCCCGTGTTCTCCAGCGATCCGGACGCCATTATTGGCCTTGCTCGTGTCTCCTCTGGCGGTCTGGAAATCTCCTACAGCGACCGAAACTTTGGAACAAAAGCGGCCGATCTGTTGCTTCCCGGAAGAGGTAAGGAAGCAGGAAACGGTTGGGAAACCAATCGCAGCAGTGAGCTAGGCCATGTCGACTGGGTTGCCGTCAAGATTGTACGCCTTTCCCTTGGACCAGCCGAAACTCCTTAGTTATATGGTGGATGCCGTCTAGACACAGTATCATAGTAAGTGGGACGTATCAGGGGACGCAACGGGGGACGCCTTGGAATTAAATTTGGCTGAAGAACAATGGGTTTAGGTTTAAATTACAATATTAATTAATATATTTTTGCTCATTATAATAGCCGATTGCTCATTTTTATATATCATTTAAATAATAATATATATATATATTATTATATGATTATTATATATTGGCATTAAAAGTACATTGAATATATAAGAGAAATTTGAATACTAATTGATATTGAACATAATATTATTTGAGAATATAATTTTGTTTAATGATAATAAGACTATATGGCACCTACACGTCTGTGAGATTTATATCTTTTCAATACCAGGTTTCTGTAGCTGTCAGTACCATAAACCTTACTAGTATGTTAAGCATTTATAATTCGCCATGTTTAGCTGTAATATTTCCTGATAAGAGTATTTGGCACCTGTACCAGAGCCTCTGGGATAAATCTCAGAAGGGAGGGGATATCATAACCACAATTCTGATGTGTATATTGTTTGGCTGCCCTATAAAAGTATTTAAAGAAGTTCAGCTTGCAATGAAATGTGAGATAAAATAGTACCAAATGTCCTGCACGTTCAATTGCTTCCTCAATTTTTCCTTTCTGTGCCTTAAAGTCTGGCTGTAATACTGGCGTTGCTCTGGCACAGTAAGTACCAACCTGTAGACATTTTGGATTAGGTGTCAAGTTTTCCACTAATGTTTTTGTACTTCATTGAGTCAGAAACTGAGTTGCAGTTGTTGGCCAAAGTCCTTATTGTTGGAGAACTGGTTCTAATCCCTTTAGTGTTCTATTATCATGTACTATTGACTGAAAGTACGCTCCTGCAAGATGTGATTCATTCCTTACATAGGTTGTATGCATAGTTTTTGCATTTTTGCCACCATCTGCAAGGTTCATTTTCGATACTCCTACAGCAAGGACTGCATATTTACAGTGGTTCTTAGGATTATTGAAGAGAAATAATTCCATACATCCAGGAGACTGGGCCTGTAACCGGTACTGGTTACTGGTTTAGGATTTCTTAGTATCAGTGGATACTGTTTGTGTTTTGAATTTGTTTCAGGAAACGAGGTGTACCTCTAGCCTGATAATATAGGGTTGATACTCTATATGTTTTATGTTTGGTTTTGAGTATCGGTTTGATACTCTATATGTTTTATGTTTGGTTTTGAGTATCGGTTTAATAATTTATATGTTTTATGTTTGGTTTCAAGTTTTGTTTTGATATTTGATATGTTTTATGTTTAGTTTCAAAGCTACCATTTGGAAGTCTTATATATTATGAGAATAAGACTCCAGGTAGCCTAAGAAGTATATTTAAGAACTGCTATTCTTCACGTTAGAAGAGGCAGACTTGGATAGACAGAGTTTTCAATATACTTGGTTGAACAGTTACCTTCTTCAGTTTGCTACAAGAAGCTTTAGTTTGAGATCCACTAACATCTTGGTAACTTCAGTGGTCACGATACAGTCAGAGGTCAATTTAAAAACCTCAGTAAAAGCCTCTGGACTTTGATTCACCAGTTACCATTTTCAGTAAAAAACAAAGCCCATTAACCCCACATTTACCACATTTCTACAGAGGTAGTTACTTTTTTTTAACTTCTACAAGTTATCAAGATAGACGGCGCTCAAGGACCAAGTAAGGCCAAGGCCCCTGAGGAAGGTTCCAAATAGCGCACTAAGGATTACAAAGGTCGGTTCACGAAGACCCCAACCACAGAGCGAGCTGCAAGCTACACAGCTGCAATGCAATTAGCCAGAGGTGCTGCTGCACAATCAGTGGGACAATCATCATAACAACTACCAGAATCGCCTACCACTACCCCTGAAGAGTATCCAGAATTACTAAGAAAGCCTGCAGGTACACGAGTACCTCCTGCTCTATCAGATGACGATCCAGATAGCTTGGTTAGTAGTAAAGTATCAGACAACATGGTTTCAGAAGTAGGATCCTCAGGGCCAGAGGCTCCAGGACCAGTTGTCTCATGGCCGCCCACCCCCAGGCCTAACTGAGTCATTACAGCCAAACTCAGTATCAAAGTACCATCAACTAATAAGTTTAATGGTAAAGGGGATGATCCCAAACCAGGAGTGTGCGATAGATGGTATAACGCAGTACAGTTATATCTACGTCAAAATGTACTACTACCTAGCGAGGTCAGAGGAAGAAACTATAGGATCGTGTAACCGGTACAGGTTACTGGTTTAAGATTTTCAGGTATTAGTTGATACTGATTGTGTTTTGAATTTGTTTCAGGAAATGAGGTGTACTGTAACCGCCTCTCGGAGGATGCGGTAATCGTAGAGTTAACGGGCTTTGTTCTGTACCGAGGTGGTAGCTAGCGAATCAAAGTCCGGAGGCTTTAGCCGAGGTTGTTGAATAGACCTCTTACTGTATCGCAACTACTGAAGTCTCCGAGATGTTTGGTAGGTCTCAAACTAAAGATTCTTGAAGCGAACTGAAGAGAGTAACTGTTCAACCAAGTATATTGAAAACTCTGTCTGCCGAAGTCTGCTCCTTCTAACGA